ATAGCTTTAAATTTTAATTTGAAGAGGAAAAAAACCTTTAAAAGTAAAAAAAAAAAAACTTAAAAAAAACCCACTTCCTGCATTGTGCTGATAAATTAAAATCTACTTTAGAGATTCTCATTGTGGGACGAAGGTGAACGCTTGTGGCACAATCTTTTTAGCGCAATTTCCATTCTGGAGAATTGCGTTTATTAAGGGCATGGGCGGGTGTACTTTTCGTCATAAATCCACTAAATCATCGATTTCCCACTTTTACTTGATCTATACAGAATAACCATCGTTGAATCTAAAAAAAATTTCATAAAAAACGTTTTAATAACAAGCTTTTATGTAATGATGCACTAAAAAGTAGAAAATAAATTATAGACTACTATTTAAATAACTATAAAGAAAAGCGTGGGTCACTTTAGTATCTATTGGATACCTTTACTAATGTTAAGGAAGACACCCACGCTTTTCTTTATAGTTATTTAAATTTATTTTCTACTTTTTAGTGCATCATTACATAAAAGCTTGTTATTAAAACGTTTTTTATGAATTTTTTTTTCAGTACTTTACATGTTTTATTTACAATAGAGTTACATGACTAAAAACCATTGCGCGCCTACTGAACATCACGTTCAGTAGGCGCGCAATGGTTTTTGAACGCAGCCATTACGTGATGGCGCAGCTATTGAAGGTGATGACGCGTGTGGTGTGGTTGGCTAGACATGCCTACTAATTCGGTCCAAATTTTTATTAATTCATAAAAAATTAATTAGGCATCCAATTAAGTCAAATTTAGTTTCAGATTGCATTGTCTTCATGTCTTGACCCACGTGCCAACTGTGAATCGTATCGGTCAAGTAGAACTGTCCGAATTTTCACTCCTGCGTTTCCGTCTAGACAGACAGAGGAAGTGAGTTAAATAAAAGCTTGTAATAAAAATGACATTGTTATGACCCTAGAAACAGTATTTAATTATGAAAAACCGGGTTAAATGTAGTGTGTACAGGGTCTTTTGTTTAATTTTTTGGTAAAAATAGCAATTTTTCGACCTAGAAAAGTACTATTAGGCTTCGCGGAAACCTAATGTGTTTCATATCAATGGAAAGGCCGTGACCTCCTTTCTTTATTTGTTCTAAAATTAAATGACCAATCAAAATACCTATTTTAATGTGATTATTTTTCTACGTCATAAAGTTGTTTATTTTACTCAGTCGGGTTTTTCCGGTATGCGAATTTTTGACCTCATTTTTTTCATTGGCATACGACGGCGGAAGCTAGTTAGCGATTGGTCGTTTCGCTTCGGAAGTAAACATTCCCTTAGTTTCAGCGCGTTGCTAAGTTTGATCTAGTTTTGTTTCTCTAAGCTTCTGTAAAATACTTACATTATTTTAACATATAATTATTTCAATTAAATATACTATTAACAGTTTAGTTTAGTTGTTGAATTATCATAAGCAGTGAGACGATTTAATTTGTTTCTCTTTCGATAATGCGTAGAACAAAACACTCGCAAAAAATAGATACACACATCTAACTAATATACTAAAGCTAGGGCACGTCCGAATGCAACTGATTGCAGCTACCTCTACTCAATCTAGCACTATTCAGACAAGCACTGGTGCAAATGTAATATGCACATTTACTAAGAAACTGCGACAATGTAAGACACAGTTTTTACAGACAGAAGAAAGCACTGTTACATCTAGTACTGGTAGTACTAATTGTAAACCACAGCCATGCAGAATTATTGTCGACTGTGATTTACTTCTTGATGTTATCTATACATTTCCTCGCACACTGTGATGTAGTGGCTACTATTGATGAAAAAAGTGTAAAGGGTTTGCTTCAAGCATGGTGTGGCAGTAATAAAAATGCTGTAAACCGTAAGTATACAACTGCAAAAGAATCCAGAACAAGGCCTTTCACAATAAACAAAGACATCGTCTTATCATAATTGGCTTTAGACATGAGACCATGCAAAATATACTGCTGTTTCTGCGATAGCATAATTCAATTTTGGGCCCAGGCATGCTATGGCATTGCTGTCAAAAGAAGGAAACCATAGTCGAAGACTCAGTGAAGGACGCGAAAAAAGACGCCATGACAACAGCTTTACTACAACTCTAGGTAACACAAAGAGCGCCAGAAAAAAAAGAAAACTAACACCCGAACAAGCTCAGAAGGAATATATTCAGCAGCACCATACTTCAGGCTATAAATGTGGTCGATTTTAGTGACATAAAGCGATAAATGTTTATTTTTTGCAACTTTTTGTTAGTTTTTTGCGTTTTTCTCAGTTTGATGTTTTTTTGTACAATTGTTGAAATAACTTTGTTAATAATTATCAGAACTGAACTAAATTTGCTCCAGTTACTCTTTATATATGTTCAAATAAAACTGATAGAACACTTTTGGAATTTTTGTAAAAAAAAATTTTTGTTGTTGAAATAGTGAAAAAATTGGACGAAATAATGAAATTTTACAGTAATGTTTGAAAAAAAAAAGTAAAAAAAAAAAACTATTTTCTTTTTTGAAAATGTAATCTATCAGAAGTCTTAAACACATGTGTCTGCAGACTATATTAAGTTTTCATGAAATTTGTACAAACCATTTTTGAGTTATTTCCATTTAAAAATCGTCAATAAAATCCAATATGGCCGCCGTCACCATGGCAACGGAAGATTTAAAAAATAAAAAAAAATATTTTTATGCTTAACTCTTTGAGTTATAACTATTAGCCAAGTATTACATCTTTAGACTCGGAAATAAGGAAGTTGGTACTCATCGCCCGCCCATGCCCTTAACTCGTCATTTCTGGGAATGGATGGATGAATGAATGTATGAATGTATGGATGAATGTGTGTCCGGGCTTTAAGTCGTATCTCCTCCTCAACGAAGCAATATCGATGACTAGTTCCAAAAGCAATTATGTTAAGCAAGTTACGAGGATGAACATAGGCCATAAAAATTACGGGTTTCTTTCATGGATTTCCCGGAAAAGCCAAAAAACCTCGAAAAAATGCAGTTTTTGGCCCATATCTCGGCAACCAGACCACTAAGCGACTTGAAACATGTACCAATCGATTTCTGCCATATTTAGAACAATATTGCCGAAGAAAGTTTTCAAAAATATCCTTTCGTTCGGTCACAAAAAAAATTTTGAATTAATTAAAATTTGGACCGAATTAGTAGGCATTTTTTCCAACCACACCACACGCGTCATCACGTTCAATAGCTGCGCCATCGCGTTCCATGGCTGCGCCATCACGTTCAGTAGGCGCGCAATGGTTTTTAGTCATGTAACTCTATTGTAAATAAAACATGTAAAATACTGAAAAAAATTAATAAAAAACGTTTTAATAACTAACCAATGATTTTACTAACCCTGCTCTTGATTTACGCTACGACAGAGCTATTTTTAGCTAACATAAGGAAATTGCGCTAAAATTGTCACTAGACTTTTTAATTACCTTGTTTTTTTCAAAATTAATCGGACTTCAATTAAGTCATGTCTAATGACACGTGATAGCTTGTGTGGGGTTGAATACATTACTTAAAGTTAGCGCAAAGATGCAAAGCTAAAAATTATCCTCATTGCAATGTTAAGATTGATTTATAATTTGTTAGGGCAAATAATGTCTACGAATAGAAAATTTTAAATTGGCGTCAAAGACTTGAATTCGAGCACTGACAAAATTTTTTTTGGGTCTTTACTCTGTATTTATCCCTCGTTCCATCTATTACTTAAAAAAATTTAAATACATTTTACGAGGTACTTTACACTGAAAAATTAAGAAATAGATCGACTCTTGATCTATATGATGAGCGCATTTTTTTTTTCAATTATTTTTTTTTTAATATTTTAACTAGTTTCAGAGTGTGAAGCAATTTTCAATGGAAAGAAAAGTTTTATAAGTATAATTTTCAGCAGGTATATACAGCATTAATAGAAATCAAAAGGTCATGTTGGGTTCATGATCCCGATATATTAGTAGACCATTTGCTTGGGTTTCCTTCCTTACTTGCTTACAACAGAGATACTACTTTTATAAACTTTGACTAGATATCACGGATTTATGACCCACTGGAAAAGCAGACTGACCCCATTATGAAGACCGAGGAGAATGATCAACTTTACGACCACCCATCTCCACTCAAACAACTCCACAAAAAGTTGACTTTTGTGGACCTTTCCCTCCCCCTCCGGGTGTACCTCTTAAGAGCCAGCGAAATGACGTCGAAATTTAAATGGCGGTTATTTCTAACTGACATAGTTTTGAGTTCAAGGATAACTGAACTGTTGCAACATTTAAACTTCGTGTTAATAATTAATGATTGATAATCCTTGATATAGCAGAAAGTAATTATTATGTGAAGTAAAAATTAAATTTCAATTAGGCTAAAACTTTAACAATGCAAGAAAAAATTATTGGGGTTAATGAAAGCAACAGGTTCATTAAATAAACAGTAAATAATAAGCAGTGTTTCTTCCAGACTTTTTTCTCCGGGGGGGGGGGGGGCACTTGAAATTTTCGGGGGGGGGGGGGGGCGGTAGACTTTCTTCGGGGGGGGGGGGCGGATACTGTTAAAAGTATTTTCTATATAAATTATATAAATTTTATTTCGTTCGGGGGGGGGGGGGGGGAGGGCGGTAGAGATAATCAGGGGAAGTAGCTAAGTGAAGAAGAGTGGTGGGGGGGAGGCGGGGGTTGACAGGCAACTCAAAAGCTTGTGTAATAATTATAATATACCAAAGAAGAAATACACTTTAATTTGTGCAAAGAGATTGTTCTGTCACTACATGATACATTCAATATGTGATTTAAACATGGAAAAATCAGCTGGACTCAATTAGTGGAGTTACACTACACCATTTTTTCTTTAATAGAAATTCACGTATTTTGATCAACAAATCAACTTAATAATGTAGTCTTTGTCATGTTGTGCTTAAGTTACTTTTGTCTGCATCTTTTTTTCTGGCAAACTTATTAACACTGTTCTTATCTCTAAAGTTAAAGAGTAGTCTAGTTGTCAAGCACTGATGCCAATATGGCGGCACTTTAAATATTCGTGTTGTGTGACAGTACTGAAAACTGATGTACTCGTTTTTTAAGCATTAAGCAATTAACATGTATGTATATGCGTATTTATAAATTATCGTTATTTTTAGATTTGTATTTGTACAATTACTAGTAGATAGTAATCCTATTAAAATTATAATATTAGTCTTTTAATTTTAAAAAAATATTTCGACTTCTGCAGAGTCAGAGTATCTGTCTAAGTATTAAGTATAGTAGTAAGTAGACTACAGTACTAAGTAGCCTATTTTTTAAAACTATATTTTCATTTCTACAAAAAAGAAATAAATAAAAATGATAATCTAGATCTAGGACTAGGGGTCGTCCATAAATGATGTCACACTCCTAGGGGGGGGGGGTCCATAATTTTGTGATGGTGTGTGATGAGGGGGAGAGGAGGGGGGTTCAGATGGTGTGACGTCAATATTTTGCATTATAATAAAGCAATGTTAGAAAACGAGTTTTAGCAGTTATTTCGCATTTTAGATAGCGTTTTTAATAATTGTAATAGGAATTGATCAAAATATCGATGTTTTAAGCAAAATTCAACAGCAATTTTGAGGGGGGTTGTAGGCTGAGGTGTGACGTCATTTTAGGGGGGAGGTCTGGCTTTTTGTGATGAAGTGTGACGGAGGGGAGGGGGAGAGGTAAAAATCGTCAAAAAAGCGGTACGTCATTTATGGATGACAACTTAGCAAAAAAAAAAAAATTCCAATTTTTGTTGCATTTTATCAAACAGTAAGCCTAATAGATTTTTATAATTTATAACCAACTATTAATACTCAGTACAGTAAAAAAAAGTTCCCTTTTCAAACCTGATGGTCTATAGACTATAGGGCAAGTGAAGTAGAGTTCACTTGTTTCTGTGACCTTGGCATATGAAGAGATAGTGTGGTCATCACTATGCCCAGCCGCCTTTACTTTCCCTAACGTGAGTTAGGTACCCATCAGAGTTGGATGGACTCAGGGACGGTCTACTGACTAAAAAGCTGGATTTGAACTCGAGACTTACGGGTTAGCAGTCCAGCTCTCTATTGCTAGACCACTCTGTCCCACACTCATTGCAGTAAAAAAAAAAAAAAAAAAAAAAAAAAAAAAAAAAAAAAACAAGAAAGAAAAACTAAGAAAGAATTCCATATACCTTTCTAACTAATAGGCCCTAAGCTAATTCTTGCTTGGATGAACCACAGCATGGTGTTTCATTAATTATTATAGTGAAGTTGTGTAAAAAAAATAGACCTCCTAGTGATTATTGTAAATTTTTTATAGTCTTTCATCTCTTTGTATAAGTAAATCTATACCTTTACACTGTCTCTAACAGTTAGAAGAAGTTATAACAATGCCACATGGTGACTCATCTTCATGGAAAAATTAGCAGATGAAAAAGAAAAGGAATGTAGTCAAATTCTAGAATCAAGGTAGCTGACAAGTTTTTATTTACATTAAGTAAAGATGTGTTTATTCCTATCATTATACATTACATATAAGCCTACTAATTTAAATTCTGACTTTCTTGTTTTAGAATTGAAAATTTATAAAAAAAAATTGTCACTTGAAAGATATAGAGCTGGAAGAAGAGAAAAATGAAAAAAAATGAGCTGAAAGAGCATTTTAAATACAACCTCAAACTGTTGGTAGACAGAAAAAGAGAACTAGAAAAATATGATGTCTCCTTTTCAGGTAAACTATAAGCCTAGCATAAAAAAATGTCTACAATAGAGTTTAGAGTCAACATACTTCATGGTCTAGCGGAATGTGCATGTGACCTCAGATTTCAAGAGTTCCTAACCCAGGCTCGATACCATAGATCATCCTTCAACCAAACTAACCCCCCCCCACCCATCCACACACACCTATTATGCTCAGTGGGAGGAGGCAAAAGCCTTTGGATGTCCACAGGACTAGTGGTTGGCAACTTTCTTATCATATTGCCCCCTACTTAGTATAGAGCATTGCTTCATCCATTTATATATCATTACCGGTATATAAGAGAGAAATTGAATCAGTTGTATAAAATGTCTATGTAGATTAAAAAGAGACTAATTAATGTAATAATTAAACTGCATGTTCCTATGCATTTTTTATCAATTCAGTGATTTTATGTAGCCTTTCAAATTATATATGAAGAAAATTACTAGAGTTAAAAAATTAAACTAGACTTGTTATTTATTTAGAGATTCGTATGACGCTGAATGAAAAGAATGCTGAGATCAGTGAGCTGAAGATTTATCTTGATGACTTGAAAAACGTCATCAAGAGGGAGGAAAAGACCAAAGATGAGCTTCAAGCTAATTACCATAGACGGCTGAGAGAGAAGCAACCTGAAGTTGATCATTATAAGAGGTAAAACCATTTGGGTAGTTGCTAAGAATTGTAATTTTTAATATTTAAAATACTGTTCTATCAATCACACAGGAATTATTTTTTACAACAATCTTTTGGGAAAAGTAGTTTTTTTATTTAATACAATATCATATGTTGCATTTTACAAAATCTAAAATGAATTTGTATTCTGGACAAACATATTTTTTAAAAGATCAACTGGGGTCGGCGTGGTCGAGTCAGTAAAGCTCATGGATGCTAAACCAAAAAGTCTCGAGTTTGAATCCTCGGGCAGATGAGGCTCGTTAGCTTGGGACAGCCACTCTTCTAAGAGAGACAACTCCAAAATCAAACAACTGCTGCCTTGTAGACGTAGTTTGTTCTTGGTTGGACAAAGGCTATGGAAGCAAATCCAAAAAGAAAAGCAGACTGAAATCGGTGTCAATGGCCTCAATAGCGCATAAACTGTATTCTTATTGTGTTAGAGGGGGATCCCTTTCAACACTAAAAATTAAGAACGAAGAAGAAAAAAGATCAACTGTACTTGATTAAATATACAAAATTACTATGAAATCTGTATATATTGATTTTGTCTTGTAAAAAATTTCACAGCTGTAAAGACAAAGAGTTGCTTGATGAAAGAAAAAAAGTATGAAGAATTCAGGAGAAATTTATAGAGACAACTGACCAATGTACAAAATGAACTGGACATTCAGAAAAGGGAATTAACCAAAGGTAGGAAACTTATTTTGTATAAATTATGCACGTATCTATCCTGAACAAAATTTTACCATATAGTTAAAATGTGAAATTTTAACTTCTTTACGACATAGCTAACTTTGATTTATAAATCTCCTTTATTATAAAGAATTGTTTTTACATGCACCATAATACTGCTAACTTGATCTACTATTTCCTGATATATATCAACAGATTTTGAGGACAATTTGAAAAAACGAGAGCATGAATTCAAACTACAAGTTGATGAGTTAAACACAAAAGCTTTGGAACATGAACTGAAAGTTAACATAAGTTTACCTTCCCTAACTTTTTTTTAATCCAGATTCTTTATTTTAAAAAAAAGAAAGTCGTAAAAAAAGATTTAGAATCTTAATATTATATTAATTTCAAATAACTGAGCTCCTTCTGTCTAGGGTACCCAAAGTATTAAAATTAATATTTTACACATTGCATAATAATTTGAGTGCTGTAAATTTTATATTCACCAATTGTTCCATCTGAGAGGACTAGATGTGTTTTGTATTTCTCTTGATAAAAATACTAGAGAAAGAGCTGGAGTTGTCCAGCGAATGTAATGATAAGACAACAGCTATAGTGGAGGTGGCGGAGGACACACAGAGGCATCTGGAGAAACTGGTCAAGAAGAGGGAGTGGGAGCTGGCTGATTCTGTGGCCATGAAAGATGCAGAGTAGGGATAGTTAAATGGCTGTAGCTAGATATTTCTGTAGCCACACAATAGGCTGTAGCTAGATATTTCTGTGGCAATGAAATAGGCAGTTAAATGGCTGAAGCTAGATATTTTTGTAGCCATGGAGTAAGCATAGTTCAATGGCTGTAGCTAGATATTTCTGTAGCCATGGAGTAAGCATAGTTAAATGGCTGTAGCTAGATATTTCTGTAGCTTAAATGGCTGTAGATACATATTTTAGTAGCCACAGAGGGGGAAGTACACAGATATTTCTATGGCCATGAAGATATTTCTGCTGATATTGAAATAGGAGAGTTAAATGGTTTAAGTTTCTGGCTAACAGAGAATTGTTTTTTTGGCTTGAAAAAAAATGACCACTGGGTCTAAAAAAATAGGACAGACTGTAACCCAGCTATATATTTTTTTTAAATAACTGTTTTAAAAACAATTCACTATTTCAATTTTACTTACAATTCATTAGAAAAATTTTTGAAAGTAGATTCAAATAAAATACAATTGTTTAAAACTTTCTAAAATTTCAGATTTAAAAAAACAAACTTTTTTCAGCTGAAAACTCATCGAAAAAACTTCAGGAAGACTTCCAAAGAAAGTAAGTAACTAATTATTTCTTCAATTGAAATAAATTTGTTTTCTTAAATTGTTAATTTTGTTAATCCAAAAATAAATTTAAAACCACATTTATAAATTTATCAAAATTTATTTCTACTGCACTGTCTTTTGTGTCATCAAAATCTTTCAAGTTTTAAGATCTTTTTTAGATTTACCGAAATGGACAGAATAGCAATGGACAAGGATGACACGCTAGAACGAGTTAAAAATGGGTATCATGAGAAGGAAGGATCGCTGCAGGCAACTGTACAAGATCTTCAATCAAAGCTAGAGGACTGCCTGATCAGGGAAAGACAACTCCAGTGGGCTAATCAAGATGCCATGAAAGAGAAAGAAATCCAAATTGAAAAGTGAGAAGTTACAATTTTGTTTGGTTTAGATATTTTTCTAAACAGGAAGAGTTATTTTTATTGTGTGTAGGTTTACAAGAATATTATCTCTTTTATCTTTCATGAGAAAGGGAATTTAAAAATTATTTGAGGTAGAAAGATTAAATTCAGATGTCGTTATAAATAGATTGAATGTTTGAACTGTGAAGTCGTTGTGACATTGTTTCTGGTGTTTTGCCATCTTTTTACACCTTCTGTCAAAAACTCCTTCATTTCGTTTTTTAAGCAAGGGTATCTTAAGTTAAATTTGTTATTTGATTAATGTTTATGCTGATTTTGTTAAAAAAACAAAACAAGTGACAACATAATGTTGAACATGTTCAGCTTAAAGGAAGATATCCAAAGCACAAAAGCGAGGTGGGACCGTCACGTGGCAGAAATCTCACATAATCATGTGACCCAAGACTTGGAGCTAAACACAGCTCTAGAAGAACAGAGGAGGTTAAAACTTGAGCTGGATCAAAGAAAAGAAGACTTAGAGAGGTGGGAGCTTGCACGATTTGATTTTTTACCATTTTTATAATAAATCCCGAATAGTCAATGTCAATTTACTTAAGGTAAATTTATTCAAAATACTTTAATTTTTAATTTTATTTTCATTAATATATCATTCTTTTTTTAATAAAAAAAAAACATCTACGTTTCCTGCCTTTGCAAGAACTGTGCTAGTTTTTAAGTGCATTATTAATTCTGATTTGCAAAACGTAGCGTCCAATGATAAAAAATTGAGCTACGCTCATATATAGGTGTTGTTTATGACGTTGCAGGTACAAGAGAGAAAAAAGGAAAAGGGGAAGACAAGATTCTTTTGTGCCTCAAGCAAAGCGAGCTAAACAAGGGAAGAAAAATTTTAAACAAGGGAAGAATGATTTCAAACAAGGGAAGAAAGACTTTAAACAAGAGAAGAAAGATTTTAAGAAGGGACATAAGCAATAAAGAGGGGAGACAAATAAAAAACACCAGAAAGAAAATAGATTTAGTGGAGCTTCTGGAAATAAAAAAAGTAAATTCTCAGTCAAGTTTCAACTATCTATCTATCTAACTATCTATCTATCTATCTATCTATCTATCTATCTATCTATCTATCTATCTATCTATCTATCTATCTATCTATCTATCTATCTATCTATCTATCTATCTATCTATGTATCTGACAAGAACGCTCTAGAGAAAACACAAGCAAATTAAAAACATGCATAGTAATTCGAAAAACGAAGTATGACGTCATATAGTGGAAAATAATATCAAGCCGTAGAGTGCACACAGTAATATGACGTCATTGATTCTCGAGTAAACATTGAATAAAAAGGCAATTTTGTCTAATCTAAGTGGTATGCGTGAAGAGTTTCTTTCATACAATTCTTCGGATAGGGGCGAAGCCCCACCCCCGCGTAAGAACGTCTGAGCCCACCCCCCTCTCCCCAACTCAAAAGAAATTTCTTCATCGATACTCTATAATAAAATGACCGCCTAATTATTGTGTCTAATCTAAAAAGTGGTTTCCTTGCAATTTCTTTAATGCAATTCTTCGGGTAGTGGCTAAGCGCAACACCAGTGTTTCTTTCAGACTTTTTCCTCCCCGGAGGGGGGAACTTTTTTAATATAAAAAGTGTTTAGCGTGCAGTTTTTTTTTCAAGCATCTCTTCCGGTAGGGGTGAAGCCCCGCCCAGATTCTTCCTTTAGTTTGTATGATCTACAAATGCGACCAGTGTTTCTTTCAGACTTTTTCCTCCCCGGTGAGGGGTGGGGGTACTTAAAATTTTCGGGGGCGGGGTACAATTTTCTGGGAGGGGGCGGACACCGGAAAAAGTATATAATTATATTTAGTTGAATGGGACGGTAGACATGTTTTGGAGTGTGTGTGTGTAGGGGGAGGGAGGGGGGCGAAGCCCCCTCCTCCCAAGTAGAGTTGCCTGAAAGAAACTCTAAATGCGACTTTTGTCATGAATGAGATTAGGTGCATGGTTTAGGCATATGCCTATGACTATATTTTGTATAAATTAAAGTACCGAGAAAATAGACAGCACTATCAACCTAGCGCCCGTTGTACCTTTCCTCAACGGGCCATTTTTCTCGTCCTATTATATTCATCCTTTCAAATTTGGAATGATTTTCTGTTAACGTATATTATTTTACGCTATTTCCAATTTCTGAATATATATCTTCTACTGGACCGATTTCTTCATAACTTTTCACGTAGGTCTAGACTAGATAACAATTCATTGTGACATAAAAATTGGCTGAATTAGATGTTTAATTAACTTTTTAAAAATTAATCAGTGTTTTATTAATAAAGCACTAATGGTCCGCTCTATTATACACAGAGGCGTATCCAGGTTTTCGTTGTAGGGGGAGCGAAAAGATAAAAAAAAGGCGCCGAATTTTTAATACGTTCTCTATACGTGTATTATATATATATATATATATATATATATATATATATATATATATATATATATATATATATATATATATATATATATATTACTAGCTTTATGTCATTGCTTCGCTATGATGTAAAATAAATTGAAAGTAGCACTCTGAAGAAATAAGAAAAAAAACACAATGTAGGCCGACAAAAAAAATTGTATCAATCTAAACAAAATATATATATATATATATATATATATATATATATATATATATATATATATATATACACTACAACCAAAAACAATGAACGTAACACAATCTGTTTTGTAATTCGTGTAAAAAAAATTCTTACATAATAATTCCTGGGAAATTATTTAAGACAAGTGAAATAGGGGAAATAATCACTATCTTAATATAAATATGTATATATCTACACGTTTAATTATAAATGTCAAAACAAATAAATAATTACTTAAGAATATAATGAAATCGTTTAACACTATTCGTGTTTACAACATGTTTTTGTCTATAATCAGAATTTAAGATATCGTCATCATAAATGCTAAAGTATTACAGCATAGTGAAAGTTTTTAAAATCAGAGTTGGTATAAAAACACTCTTTTCGATATAATAATAAAACATTCGGAATAACAGCCTGCATTTAACTAAATAACGGTGTTTAGTTCAAATCATATATTTTAATTAACTACTGCTTCTTTGTGTTCTTAATCACTATATTGATCATTACCTTTTTATTGGTAATTGCAAACGACAATATTCCCAGAGTTTTACGTTTAAAAAGCTAATTTTCAGGCGGCATGGTACTTTGGTACATCATTACGCGTTTTTCTACATGTACTTAACAGATCAGTTCGGGGTGGGTTTGGGGGGGGGGGGTTCAACTTCATTCACCACAGTCCGTTCACTTTAGGTCAATTAATCCAACCCAGTGTATACCTAGGTGTGACATTAATGTCGCTCTACACAATTGTGGTGGTGAGGTGTGTAGGGGGGGGGGGGGGAGATAACCAACTCAGAGTGAACATAGCATCAGTTTTTAGATGACTGTTCTTAACATACATATATATTACACAAAAATATATTACACAAATATATATTACAGAAATAGATTTAAATAAGTAGCAGTGGTATTATGACAATATTTTTTTTTACAGAGGGGTCCATGGGGGAGGGGTTGTAACTGTTTCATATAATTTGTAATCGTAATCACTATCGCCCAAACTGTAAGAATACTACTACTTCATCGTGATGGCGTTGTCGACCTTGTCAAAATTTCCCCACCACTACGCAGTTTGCTCATAAGTAAATTTAAATAGAGGTGCCACATCAGTTGTATTTGTTTCTGTATTGTAATTTTTTTTTTAAATTAATCACACGATTCAAACTGTATATATAAAGTAATTATGTGTGAAGTTTTATGTATAACTTTTTCTAATTCAATTATTCGTAAGCAAATACATTATACAGTTGCCTTAAACTTAACACCCCTATTGCCAAGTGGTACTACCACAGAGGTTTTTTGAATATTGCAATGCATCGTATTGGTTATTTTTAGAATGGCAAACTGATGCAGCTGTTAATTCGTGTTGTAAACGTAGACACTACTAGACTAGTACAATAATGCTTAATTGCTGCATGAAAAGAAATCTTGTGATTTCCATAGATGTGCCGACCAAAAATATTTTTTTAACAAATATCATTGTTTAAAACTTTTAAAAAGTTTCCAAAAAGGCGCCACTTTGCTGAAAATGCGGCCGCTCCCCCTGCTCCCCCCCCCCCCTGCGTACGCTACTGATTATACAGATTGTGTATGTTCATTTGAAGCCAATTCTTTTTTTCCTATGCCATTCTATTCTATATAAAAAATGTAATATACGAAAGTTCAGGGGAGATTACTCACGCTTTATTTTAATTACGTCGTCGTCTTTGTTAATTAAAAATAATTGGTTTAAAAACTGAGTTGAGTTCGTTTTACGTGTTGATTCTCAACAAGCTGAAAACAAAAACTGTTCTGTGTCTCTCATAATGATTTCCTTTTGTGGTTTTCATCACGTCATCATTTGTTTTTAGAATTCTTCACATCTGTTTAAAAAGTTAAAGCACATGAGCGTATAAGAGAGGATATTGTTGTCTGGTCTATGTTTAACATGAGATTAAAATACAACGTACATATGATTTTGTCTGCATTCTTACTGGTATATATTAAATAATCGATACAGATAATTTAAATTTTAAAAATTTCCAGTTTTTAAAAAAAAACAAAACAAAATAATTCGTTGTTCTAATTTTAGAAACCCGTGCCAAAAGTGGTTTATTTTTAAAATTTTAAAATATATAAATGTGTACAATAAAATTCCGTCTTCTCCCCTTACACCGAAGCTCGGCTATTTTGGCGCACCGGCGTTCGTACAAGCTTCTATTTAGTTCGCAACGTCTGTTTGTGGGAGCGATTTCGTTCAAGCTTTCCAGATACATCCCACTTCGGTGACAATAAAAGTCTATCTATTTTGTAACTTAATTAAATGTTTAATAGGGCATTAAAAATAATTAAACGGGTTCGATACCAAGGGAGATAACTAAATTAAATCACCCGGTTGATTACTATATTCAATAAAAGAAGGGGAGATAGTAGCTAGACACAATCACCCTAACAGTCTGGTGATATGTGGTTCACGAGAATGTTAACAATTGTAGAGCCGGTCGATATAATGAAAGCAATTAAGGGCAGATAATTAAGTTTTTAAACGATTTGAAACTAAGGGGAGGTAAAATTATTTAGAACTTTTTGTCGTCTTTTAAAATATGGTAACGGACGGCTGCTTTCACAGGACAGACAGACAATATTCTTTTAGATATCGCGTGCTACTGATGGTGTTTTAAGGCAATTGATTTTAGTCGTGCCGACGTCATAAATTAGGAATCACTAAAAAGCTGAAAATAAAACAAATATTAAAAACCTTTATAGCAACAAGCTTTCTTAAGTGCATTGAAAATAAGAAAATAAAACTAATTTGCGTTCTTTCATAAAAGCTTGTATCGCTAAAATATGTAAACGATTTCATGTGCGACTACTTTCCGTAGATATACATTTTCTTCAGGCATCTCTACCGTTTCTTCCCCTTTCACCTCCGAACGATATTGAAAAAAGCAATTCATAAAAAAATTATAGAAAAACCGGTATCCGCTATCCCCAACACCCCCCCCCCCTGTCACGCACACATATTCCCCACACCCTCCCTTGGACAGTTTTAAATGCCGCTCCCCGGAGATAAATATTTAAAAGAAAAACCGGGTCGCCTATTTGTAAAGAGAAGAGAGGTAAAAGTCACCAGAATTGCCCGTGTAACGGGTAACGATGGCTGGTCTATATTATATACTACTAAAACTCAAGTTTGTTTGAATATATTTTTTGTTTGTTTGTTTGGTTACAGGAGAGAATCTGCACTATGTGTAGAGCTGTAAAATACGTAATTAGGGAAAGAACAATGTTCTTTTTGACCAAACTGTCAATCAGAAATTAATTTAAAGAAGCTAATTAATTTATTGGTAGAATCTATGTTTATATACTAAACTATTTTAGACCTTAATTATTTTATATAAATCTTTGTTTGTTTAGCAACGGAATTGGCTAATTTGGGGTAAAATTTAATTTGAAATAATACTATGGCGTATTCGCGTAAATCAAGTTTCTTACGCAGAATCAAAGTACAATATAGACAAAGTACAATATAGACTAAATATCGTCTCTAACATAAAGAGCCTAGACAGCTTATAAATATATTTTAAAAATATAAAAACATTGTCTGACACTTGGCCGGACACTAGGCAGGTAAAGTAGAGTTTGGTAGGTGTATAGTTCACCTGTGCCATCAGCATATAAAGGGATAGTTTGGTCAGAACCATGCTCAGTCGAGATCTGTGTTTTAAAAGACAAAAACATGTCTGAGGTGATACGTCTTTTTGAATGTGGGGTAGGGTTTTTTACTTTCTCGTATACAGAGTATAAAGAAAGTATTGTAATCGTTCACAAAAAAAAAAACCGGGAGTGATCTTCCCTTAGTTTTCTCAAATATTCTTATATAAAACAACAGTCGGAAAATTTAGTTTTGCAATCTTGTCTGTGTGTCTCTGTGTGTTGTGTGTGTCTGTACTGTAAACACGATAACTTGAGTACCGTTACAACTAGGTTGATGAAATTTCATACATAAGTATTATATCAAATTTGTAGATCCGTAAAAAATTTTCAGCGATTTCCGATAACCGGAAGTGGAACTTTATCTATTTTTAATTTTTCAAAAGCCTATAACATAAGTACTATTTCATATAGATAAATGAAATTTCACATTTTAAGTAAAAGATCTAATTCACTGCCTTCTATAACATTTTGAGTAATCTCTGTTGACCGTAAATAGTAAGTTGTGCTATTTCTGATTTATCAAAAAACTCATGTGAATTTATAAAGTACTAATAATATTCCGCACGATTGTACACATTTTGTTAGGCGTTCAATTGGTATGCAATTATTTTTCTACGAGATTTTATTCTATTTTAAAAAGTTTAATTAATTAAAAAAGGATTTAAAAATATGTCTATATCCCGAGTTGCCATCTCTTGTTGTTTTATAAAAGAATATTTGAGAAACTTTAGGGGAGTTAACTCCCGGTTTATTTGTGATAATAAGTGACAATAGAGAGGGAGGGAAAAGTTAAAAATTATCAAATAAACATGACGTCATTTAAGAATTACCCTTGAAACACACGGTTATTCAAGAATACTGAGTAGTCTAGTTTAAAAAAGCAAACTTATTGGGGGTTTTCATAAAAAACAACACGAAACACATAACAGCCGTTTTTAAAAATCTTGTAAAAATATTTCTAATTTCATGTTAGAAAATATTAAGTAGAATGAAAGGGAAAAATTACATAACGACCACGAGAAACAACCATACACCATCACACACTTTTCCTTCCACACCTCCTCACATATTCTTTCCACACCTCCCCACATATTTTTTCCGATTGTTGGACCCTCCTCATTTTCAATACTTGTCCTCCAAACTTCCCCATACATTCCTTCCACACCTCCCCATTCCTTAACACACTAGTCCTTCCACACCTCCCCACACCTCCCCGCATATTCCTTATACATCTATAATTAAAACCAATGTACAAATGCACTTTCTACTTGTCCTTGTACTAAAAACGATATCCATTAATTTAAAAATCCATCTTAATCTTTGCATTAATCCGTTTTAATTTAAACCAATTGTCGTGGAGCGACCAAAATAGCGAGCGTCTTTTGTTGTCTTCTCACACTGTAAAGATTTAAAATTCAGCTCAAACTTAAACATAGGAGGCCATTATATTTTTGATGAAGTTGAGTTGTTTTTATCACAGGAAGGCTGAGGTTAGACAATGTACCACGTGGTGTGACGCCATTGTTCCCTGCTTGTTAGAAGCTCTGAAATGCTTTTTTCGCCATTTTCTTATGATCAATCCCTTATTTAATTTTTGCTTTTTTTAAAAATATTTTTTTAAAGAAATACTTTTGAGTGTTAACCCAAATCATTTGAAAAGAACTTGCCAACTAATTACATTTTAAATAATATTTTTCCAGACTACTACTCTCGCCTGCAAAAAAAAAAAAAAAAAAAAAGAAGACCTCGAGGCAGAATCTTCTCGACAAACTAAAGACCTAAAGGATTTTCTGGAAGGGGGCAAAATACACAGCCGAGTACAGGACAAAAACAAAGTTAATTGTTGAGGCCAGAGTAAAGAGGATGGAGTCTTTAATCTAAGGCTGGTATATCTCATCATTCAATTGGTAAACGCATATGTTTTACTGGCTATTACCAACAATGACAATTTTATTGCGTGTGCAAAATTTATTCCACAAATAAACAATGGCATCAGCAATGGCATTAGATAATCTTATTTGTTATGCTTGCATTGTTGCATTGATTTTACAAGCTTTTATTTAACTTGCTTCCTCGCACTAGTTTTTGTCTGTCGTGCTTGGCCCGTCACGGGTCGAAAATGGCGATGGAAATTTAAAACACTTCTACCGGGCCGAATTCTTTCAAGCTTGGCACGTGGGTCAAGACCCGATAACAATGCAATGTGAAGCATATTTGACTTTATTGGATGTTAATTCATTTTTAAAGAATTAGTTAAAATGATCTACAAAAAGTACGAAGTTTATCTCTCTATTATACGAATATTATTTGCGTTCATTTGGTGTTTAATTATTTTTATAAATGCATTTATTGTTGCATTGTATTTAAAAAAAATATAAAGTACTGAATTTAAAAAAAACGATTTAATAACAAGGTATTATATGAGTCTAATTATGCACTAAAAAGAAAATAAAACGATTTTCTTTAGGGGTAACCCTGGGTAATTTCATACACTACTTTTTTTAAAAAAAAATCTGTAAAAAATCTAAAATTAACACTACCACAATATAATATTGAGGGTATAACCAGACATGCATTACTTATATGATGGCAAACAAATGTAGAGATAATTCACAAAACAAAATACAATTTTTAAATATTTCACTTTTATTACAAAAAAAACATGGCAAGAGGGGAAATTTCACATTCATCGTGAACATTTAAAAATTCATATATTTGTAAAAATCATTTTTCCCCATGAAAACAATTTTGCGTGGGGGCAACCATCCTTCATCACTGGATGAAGAGAAAGCCTCCATTTCTTCCTCCTGAATTCAGCTCTCATTAGGAGGCCTTTTCAACCGCAGCTTTCATTGCCTTCTTGCCATAGGCTGACGTTATTCGATAATAATTGCTGACCATTCTGAAATGAGAACAAAATTAAATGTTAGAAAGTCTAATTACTAATGTGTGTATGGGGGCTGTTTAGCTATACATATTGCATAAATTTTAATAAATAGTATAGGTACAGTAAAAATAATACCAAACTATAGGGTATGGAATTGCCCCTCACCATGAGCGTGGAATTGCCCCATACCTACTATTGAGAAAAACATGCTTTCCTGTTTCAAATTAACGGCAAAATCTAGCATTATTAATTGTTACCATTAACATAAATGATTAAGCATTCATAACAAAATCAATAAATAATTGACAACAATTAAAAATAAGACAAAAGAAACTATTTTTAAAAAGTGCAGGGGTTGTACTTACGTAAGGATGTTTGAAGATAGATGCAGATAAAATTAAAATTCTTGCTCTGACTGTGGATGAACGCTTCACTAACAATAACAGAAAGTACAAAAAATGACCTGGAAATGAACAGGAAATAGTAACTTTTAAGTAAAACTAGACTTACCCGTCATACCTTGGATGACTGTGGGTTTCGGGGGTCATCCATAAATGACATCACGTCGGTGATTTATCATCACAAAATAACCAGACCCCACATTCAAAAAGACGTTTTTTTATCTTTTAAAAACACCGATTTCGGCTGAGCATGGGTCTGACCACACTATCCCTTCATATACTGACGTCACAGGTGACCTTTTAAAAGTTCTATTAATTTTAATGACACCGACTTCAAAATTTAGTCTTCATTCTCCAAAACAAATTTTAAAATGCTTTTCTGGCATAACTAGCCCTGGCCACCTATAGCACGTTTATATAACGTGAAAACCCGCCATTTTGCTCGTGGTAAACATGGCCTAAAAATGGTCGGAAGTCATGCGCCCGGTCCGAACGTCATTTTTGTTAGCAACCGACCACGCCTCCAAGTTAGCTACTATATCTAGATCTAGAACCTAGATAGATAAATCTCATGTATTCTCGAATTAGATGTTCATTGAAGCTAAACAAAGATTTATATAAAATAATTAAGGCCTGAAATAGATTCTAGACGTAGAATTTACATTAAGTCTAGATCTAGAATTTACGTAAAGTCTAGTGACCTAGATCTAGAATCTAGATCTAGATCTAGATTCATAACTTTTTCTTCCTTCGACAGCAGATCTGTAGATCTAGAGAAATGTATTGTATAATAAAATAAAAAGAAGTGTTAAAACTTTTATAATAGTGTTGAAACGTAATAAATACAGCAAACGGACGCGTTAAACTTTTGAATGGGCCACAAAGTCGATGATGGGATCTGCCATTTTATTGTACTAAAAAGTAAACAAATCAAGTGACGTCACTATTCAGTCAAGTTAAAGCCATTGTTTGAAAACTTTAAAATTAATGTGGTTAATCTACCTATGAATAAATCAATAAATTAAGTAACGTCTTTAAATAAATTTGTGATTAACAGTCTGTCTGAAAACAAAAATTGTTCTCTACCTACATACTATTTTACAGCTCTCCACATAGCGCAGATCCTCTACAGTAGTCAATCAGACAAACAAACAAAAAAAAAACAAAAAAAAATAAATATTCAAACATGTAAACAAACTTAAGTTTTAGTAGTATAGATATTGACTCCCTATTAAAGTAGAGAGTATTCAGTATATAGTGTGTGGAATTACCCCGTGTGTGGAATTACCCCAGCTTACCTATATATTTATGAACCACTATTTAAGTAACTAAAAAGTGAGGGGGCACACACACACGCGCGCGCACAAACACTAACACACAAGCACACCACCATACACTTTAATATACAAAACAGCATACACAACATTATACACAAAATACACATTAACATCTACTTCAACATACATAACAACATTCACAACACAAAAAAACAACATACAAAATCATTTTCAACATAACCACCCAGCGTTCATTTTCTCATAATTTTCTGCAATTTGTAAGTGTCGCAGAATGTGTGACAGTGGAGTCACTCTGTCTTCAGCCATGTAGAGGTCAATCTCCAGCGAGAGTCATGACAATGTTGTCATTTTACGCATCACTGTATCGGCCTATTATTATCCCTCTTTATCGTTTCACCGCTAACAATACGCACGGCCTGCGAAAGTAATCGAGTATCTTTTATCAACACAATTTTTTAAAGTAATCGACTACCACCGCCCCGCGATGCCGCCTGACCGCCCGGCGCTAATATTTGTCCTGACGGATACAAGACAGGAAGTGATTTAAAAGACAGCAGACGGGAATGGATCAAACAATACCGCTGGGCGTCTTGTGCCAGATCTTCTTGGTGGTGTTTCTTTCTGTAGCTTACAAACTCATATGCCAGGCTGGCTTACATGTGATGTTAGAGGTTTGAAATTTGTGGCGATTTTTTCCACTGTTCTAAATCTTACTCCTAATTTGATTTTGTGCTTAGATGTTATTTTAAGCATAGTGCCTACTACAAAAACAAAGTGTACTTCGTATACATTTTGTTAAACTGTAGCTCTTTTTTAAAATAGATCACTACTGTCATGGAAAAGACTTTCCAGAAAATGTATGATCTAGAGATAAAACAACTTTAATTTTCTTTTTGTCATGACTAAAGGCTATTGACAATGGTAACAACGTACAGTTTGTGAAATTTTTAGTAACTTTTTGTATTTGCATCTCACTCTAACATTGTAACTTACCATGTCTTTTTTCCCGTCATTATTTTAAAATTTATCGAATAATTATAGTTGACAGTTGTACATAGAGAGTACTAGGGGCTTACCGCATTCATAACAAAACTAGATCGTAATAACTTCGTTTTATTTTAATGCGTTTAAACATTTTAAAATCGATTAAAATTGTCTAGAAAAGAGGTACAGACGCCTCGACATGTACGTACCCCGAATTCTTGAGTTCAACTCGCGAGTTCAGAAATTCAACCAACTCTCGATAATGCGATTGAAAAATCCCCTCATTCTTACGACCGTTCAATACATTCTCAGATGTACTCTATTAACAACTCTATTGTACCTGCCGTTATGAACCGTCAGGCCAGTATGTATATTTTTACTAGTATAAATGTGTGCCCTCAGTATTCGGTTGTTGTATAACGGTAGTAAACATAAAATACAACTATTTTTACAACCTTTTTACAAGCTTTTATTTAACTCACTTCCTCTGTCGTCAGTTTGTCGTCAGTCTGTCGTCAGTCTGTCTGTCTAGATCGAAACGCCGGAGCAAAAATTCGGACACTTCTAACTGACAGATACGGTTCGTAATTGGTACGTGGATCAAGTCATGAAGACAATGCATTATGACATCAAATTTGACTTAATTGGATGCCTAACTAATTTTTTATGAATTAAATAAAATTTGGACCGAATTAGTAGACAGTTCTATCCACACGCGTCATGACGGCCGTGTTGGGCTCTACGTCAAAAGCGCGTCATCACGTTCAATCGGCGCGCGAAGTCGGGTCAGCAGTCTAGTTCTTTACCATAATATTTTACAGAAACTTTAGCTATAAACTTGACAATCGTTTTTAGTCATGTAACTATTGTAAATAAAACATGTAAAGTACTGAAAACAAATTCATGAAAAAACGTTTTAATAACAAGCTTTTATGTAATAATGCACTAAAAAGTAGAAAATAAATTATACACTACTATATAAATAATTATAAAGAAAAGCGTGGGTCTCTTCCTAAATATTAGACACTACTATTTAAATTACTATAAAGAAAAGCGTGGGTCACTTTAGTATCTATTGGATACCTTTACTAATATTTAGGAAGAGACCCACGCTTTTCTTTATAGTAATTTAAATAGTAGTATCTAATATTTAGGAAGAGACCCACGCTTTT